CTCTGGGCCAGGAAGGGTGCTAGGGGGCTTCCAAGAGGTAGCCCCGCAGTGGGATCCTAGGACTCTAGCAGTGAGGGCACAACCTTCCCTGCCTTTGCTGAATAGGGATCTCCAGTCTATTCTCCTCTAAGTGGGGTAGGAGAAGGCCCATTGCTGAGCCAGCAACCTGGGCAGGGAGAAGCTGACTCCCACATGTGCCCTTAAACTAGCAGTCCCCGGGGTGGATGCCTCATCTTCAAATTGCAATCTATTCCAATCAAATGTTTCCCAAGGTGTGGTAAGTATACTCGGGTGGTGCAATAGGTGGACTTAGGTGTCACAAGGATGACCAGTTTACATTTTAGTACTTCCCTATTTAATTTCATGTGTATGAGAATGTTTTATAAGTAGCATGTTAAAACCATGATGCCATGGATGTTGCTTATTTATTTGAGTAAAAAAAAGAAAGGTAAATTTACAGAAGTGTTAAGGAATAGAATAGGTGGTAAACAGCTGTACCAAATTCACGATGGGGGTATGGGAATGGCTCACATTTGGGAAGCAAGAGCTCTCGTCAGTGACTGAGAGCCAGGGCTCTGGAGTCTGATGCACCTGGATTATAATTCTGGAGACTTCACTTAGATTATTCGGGATTCTTTTGATCATATACGGAAAAAAAAAAAATCAACTACTAGATTAAGAAGGAATTTTATTGCCTCACATAATGGGGAGAATCTGGGGCATCAGGTATGGCTGAATCCAGGGCTTCGACCCCATGGAGTGATGATGACCAATGATGACTCTAAATTTCATTCTTTTACTGCTATGACCCCAAAGGCAAAGAAAGATGTCATCCCTTCAAATGCCACCATCTCTCCTTCTACCCCAAAGTCCCAAGGACAGACTGATGGGCCCAGCTTGGGTCACACACTTATCCTACCCCTGAACCCAAGGGATGGGGTCCTCTGGTTGGATAAAGCTGTTACACGTCCACTTTGGAAGAAAGGGGGGACTTCCTGGGCAGTCTCAAATAATGGCCACCCGAGTTGCTAAGGAGACTGGATTCCAGGAAGGACCTAGAGGTAGTGGGGAGAAGATTGGAGGGAAAAATCTGTCTTCATGAGCACCAGGGAACATGCTTTAAGCAGAGACAAAAGGGGAGGGGAGAGGAGAACTTCCAGGGCCTGGAGCCACTGAAAGCCTAGGAGGGGCCAGGAGGTGGCCATCGTGTCCTGACACCCAGGAAGGCCATCTTGGTGCCCAAGTGGGTCTCAGCCACTGTGGACAGGGAGCACTGCTAAGTGGGGGATAGAGACCCTGCTGGACAGGGCTGTGCAGCCAAGCAGAACTTCCAGACCAGAGCCTGGTAAGCAGGCCTGGCCTCTAACCTGGACAGGGTCTGAGGGCACAGGTGGTCCTCAAAAAAAAAAACTAGATTCTGGGGCTTAAGTGCTGGGGATGAGGAAGGCAGGCCCGACACCACTCATACTTCCCATGGAGGCCATCGATAACTCTGTTGCTTTGTGGCTTGTCTGGAACCTTCAACTTCCTCCCTGTCTGAGGGCCCACAGCAGCTCCTGGGTGTGTTTCTGTGGTTTAGCAGTGAATCCCTGAACACATGATACCACAAGTGGATGGCTTTAACAAAGAGAAGTTTATTCTCTCAGTCCATTAGGCTACAAGCCCAAATTCAGG